AGATACAGAACATTTCCAGCACCTCAGAGGCTTTCTGAAGGAAATATTTTAATGCTTAGTAAATTATTTAATCTTACCCCAACTCTCCTTTTGCAGGGTGCTGAGAAACTCAACTGCAGTCATGTTTAAGCTCCGCTGGCCTTGTAGAGGCATGGGAAGGACTGAATTTTGTGAGCCCTAAGGTCCTTTCTTGCTCTTGTGGGAGCTGCTTACCTACAGGAGTGGCTGTTTCTGCCCCTGTTTCTCAACCATCACTGTGGAGGGTCCTGAGCAACATCCCATCCAGCTTCCCCCTCCCCTCCTTTTTCCTTTCCCTTTTGTTTTTTTGATGGAGTCTCGCTCTGTCGCCCAGGATAAAGAGCAGTGGCGCAATGCTGGCTGACTGCAGCCTCTGCCTCCCAGGTTAAAGAGATTCTTCAGCCTCAGCCTTCTGAGTATCGGGGACTACAGGCGCATGCCACCACGGCCAGCTAATTTTTGTATTTTTAGTAGAGATGGGGTTTCACCATATTGGTCAGGCTGGTCTCCAACTCCTGACCTCATGATCTGCCCGTCTCAGCCTCCCAAAGTGCTGGAATTACAGGTGTGAGCCACCACACCCAGCCTCCCGCACTTTTTTTTTTTTTTTTTTTTTTTTGAGACAGGATCTTACTTTGTCACCCAGGTTAGAGTGCAGTGGCTTGATCAGGGCTCACTGCAGCCTCAACCTCCTGGGCGCATTTCCCGGACACAAGCCATCCTCCCGCCTCAGCCCCACAAGTAGCTGGGGCTACAGGCACAGCTGCCATGCCCAACTAATATTTTATAGAGATGGGGTTTCATCATGTTGCCCAGGCTGGTTTGGAATTCTTAAGCTCAAGCAATCCGCCCACCTGAGCCTCCTAGAATGCTAGAATTACAGGCGTGAGTTACCATGCCTGGCCCCAGCCTCTCTTTTGAGGCCTAAAACGGGGAAAAGAGATGCTCACTCAAAGCCTTCAGCTCATTTTCCTGATTCACTGGCCTGATTTCACTACAATTCCCAAGGCCTGGCAAGGTGGCCAACCGTTCTCAAAGTTGGGTCTGCAGGTCCTACCTTCTTTGTGAACAACATAACTGCAGATGCTTCACCATGTATACGTCAACCAATGCAATATATTGCAGCAGACCGAATGCCAAAGCACATGTGAGAATCTATTAGGTCAGATTTTAAAAAGATTTGCAAAAGTGTAAAACCATACCATTCCTTTATTTTGGTGGTGGGCGGGGTATATATATTTCCTTTTTTTCTTTTTTTGAGACGGAGTCTGTCACCCTGACTGTAGTGCAATGGCGCGATCTTGGCTCACCACAATCTCCACTCCCCGCGTTCAAGTGATTCTCTTGCCTCAGCTTCCCGAGTAGCTAGGATTACAGGGGTTCACTGTAAGGCCCGTTGCCTCGCTGGGAGCTCGGACACGCCCATCCCTCTCCACTACGTCACCACTCCGCGATCGACATCAACCTCTGCTCCCGGCACCTACCCCGCCGTTGGAAAACCCCGCAAAGTTTAAAAGAAGCCCCGACAAAACCTGCCCAATAGCATTTTGCTCTGTCCGGGTCCCACTCCCCCTGGGCGGCCCGCTCACCAGAAACCCCGCCTCCCTACCAATAGCAGCTTGCCCCAACCACGTCCGGTTTCCCCACAACCAATCAAAACGCCTTCACTCCCTATAAAACCCCACGCCCAGAAGCGTCAAGCGCGACTTCCCTGGCCCCTTTCCCCGGGTCCATGGAACCTTGCCCGAGTTAAATAAATAGGCATTTAATTTTTTTATGCTGGTCTCAGTCTCCTCATTCTAAACTCGGCAATAACCCTTACATTCACCACCACACCTGGCTAACTTTTGTAATTTTAGTAGAGACAGGGTTTCACCATGTTGGCTAGGATGGTCTTTAACCCCTAACCTCAGGTGATCCACCCGCCTCGGCCTCCCAAAGTGTTGGGATTACAGGCGTAAGCCACCGCACCTGGCCATTCACTTTTAAACAGCAACAAAAAAACTTTAAAGCATTTTAACTTATAGTATGGTAACATTAACAGCTATAATCCACATTAGTAAAAGCTTGGGGCCCTCAATCATTTTTACGAGTATAAATTGGTCTTGAGACTAAGAGTTTGGGAAATGCGGTAGCTCTACGAGGCTGTGCCATTCTTGACGCCGAATCAGTGAATTTCGGAGAAGGAAGGTCGTCGGCCCGCCGCCTCATCGCCAAGCTGGAGCCTCGCGCTCCAAATGCGTCCTTCGAAGTCTTCGGCAAAAGCGGGACTGGGGAGTCCAGTCGTGTCGCCAAGCCACGTTTCCTCGCGTGGAAAGCTGGACAATGTTTTCTATCTCACAAGACCACCGAAATGACTGCGTTAGGTATCCCCAGAAATGTGCGATGAGTCACATCCTGTTCTACAGAAGCAAAAGCTGAAGCTCAGAGATGCCAAGAGCTTTGCTGGGGTCCCGCGACTAACTGGTTCCAAGACCCAGACACCCTAGCTACCCGGACACTTCAGGTCACAACCCTGCGTCGAACAGCCGCCGGATCCTCCCGCCAGCTACACATCCGGCGCCCAGGCCGGAAGCTTTCCTTCCGGTTCCCAAGACCGCGCTCCGGAAATGAGTCACTCTACCAGTACCTAAGATGGCCGCCAACCTAGCCACCGCCGCGATCACTGGAAGGGACGTGTTGACGAACCCGGAAGTTGCCCAACTCCGCCATGGCAGGCGCCGGGGGCGTGGCTTCCGGCGGTCACAGTCTCTGAGTCGCGGCGGCGGGGTCCAGCCGGGGCGGCAGCTGACAGACGCTCCTCCCCCGACGGCAGCGGCTGGTGCCCAGCTAGGCGGGCGGCCCCCAGCTCGCGTCCCCGCGTCCCAGCCCGCGAGGCGCCAGGGCTGCGCCAGGGCATGGAAGAGGGGAAGATGGACGAGAATGAATGGGGGTACCACGGAGAAGGCAATAAGAGCTTGGTGGTGGCCCACGCGCAGGTGAGTGGCGGAGGTACCGCGCAGGTCCCGGACCTCACTCAGACGGCCGGGATTATCCCGTCCCCATTATCCCTTTCCCCAGCAAGGTCGGTTCCACGTTCCCCACCGTACCTCTCTCCTCCCCAGCCGTTCTTCATTCTCCCACCATCCAGCATCCCCCCCAATTCCGTGAGTTCCTCATCACCCCAGTATCTCCTCTCTACTGGGTCAGTCTCGTTCCCCCAGGTCCTTCCTTCTCCCGATCCGTCTCTCGTCCCCTCAGTATTCCCCCTCTCTGTCAGAATCAGTTCCTTGTCCCCCTCGCCGCCCCATCGGTGCCGCGCGCAGCCTCACGCGGTGTCGCCTCCCGCCTGGGTGCCCGCGGGACTGCCAGGCCGCAGTGGGGCGGAGGCTTAGCTGGGCAGAGGGCTCGGGCAGCACTGGAGGAAGAAGCAAAGTGCCCGTGGTGCTGTTATTCTCAGCATCAAAAGAGTTCAGCCTCTTGAGACTACGGAGTTGCTGTTCTTGCTGCTGTTAATAGTAAGGGTACGTGGTCCACAGGTCCCCTTCTCAACCTTTTGGAATTTGAAGAAACCTGAATTCAATGATGGTGAAAGTTTTAGAAACTGCAGTAAGAAGTCGCAAAGGTGAATCCAAGAGTGAAGCATGTGGGTTTGTGTGAGTGCTCAGATCTCTCTGACCTTTTGCTGCCTGGTACAATCACGCCGGAATGCGGCCGGTTGGGGGTGGGGGAGGAGGGTGAGGGGGGCGGGGAATAGGTGTCATGTAGGGAGGAATTAGAGCCTGGGTATTAAAGGCACAGAAATCTCAGTTCTACCACTGCATGGTGGAGGCTCAGTGTCTATATTTTTAAAGTGGAACTAGTAATAGAACTCACTTTGTGGGATTGTTGGAAAGATCAGTTAAGGAAGAACCCATCAAGTTATGCTTAGGAAGTGATAATTGTCATCCCCTTGGACACATAGATAAAGTGAAAATAAGAGAGGTTAAGGGCACTGGCCCAGTCCAACAGCTTGTCAGGGATGGTGTAGGTGGTGGAGTACTGCCTTGCTTCTGTTGTTTCTCTGCTGGATGCATTGGTCAGCTGCGGTGTAAGCTGCAAACATCCAGGTAGCCCGAGGTTCTGCTTTCGGGTTTTGTTACTCATTAGCACAGGGAACTAAAGAACAGAGACTACAGGCTTTGCTCAAGATCTTTAGGTGAATATAATGGACCAGGCTAACCTGAAGCCACCCTTCTCTTGTGTAGTCCAAGACTGGGCAAAGTGAGGGATGTTTCCTCGTGACTCCGTTTTGTTGTTGGATTACTGTGCCAATCTCCTGAATCCTTTCCCAAATCAAATGCTGATCTTCCAATTCCTTTGTAAGATTAGATGTATCTCTGCATTTTAGGTAAACCCAAGGTGTTCTTTAGTGAGGGCTGATATATTAAGTTTCAAAAGTGGTGGCAGATGTAGCAGCAATTTTCAGGCTTGGAGCAAAAGGACACCCATGTTGAAAGGGCAGAGGCTTTGAGGAAGTTGCCCCTGGCATTTGGATCTCTCTGTCTGTCCCTGACAAGTATGTGTCCACCCTCTTCCCTGAGCAGGCATCTCCAGGGCATCCTGGCCCTCCCCTGTTGCACAGTTCTGATTGTAATGATTGTTTCTTTTTTCTTTCACATTTTCAAATTTACCTACAGCTGCCAGGCTATTCTAGACCTATGCTATTCTTTCTTTTTTTTTTTTTTTTTTTTTTTTTTTTAATTTTATTTTAGATGGGGTCTCGCTCTGTCTCCCATGCTGGAGTGCAGTGGCCCAATCTCGGCCCACTGCAACCTCTGCCTCCTGAGTTCAAGCAATTTTCCTGCCTCAGCCTCCCAAGTAGCTGGAAATACAGGCGCCTGCAAACATGCCTGGCTAATTTTTTTGTATTTTTAGTAGAGATGGGTTTCACCATGTTGGCCAGGCTAATTTCAAACTCCTGACCTCAAATGATCTGCCCGCCTTGGCCTCCCAAAGTGCTAGGATTACAGGTGTAAGCCACTGTACCCAGCCTCGTTCTTTATTTTAAATCTAAATTTGCTTTACCATGCTCATTTCTGCTTGGTTGTTGTTTTTAGCTTATCATTTGAAATTGAAGATTATCACTGCACATAGTCTCATGAGAAAATGTTTCCCATCAAGTTAAGGTCAGACAGAGCCTCTGCCTGATATAGTAACCTGAACCAAGCCTGGCCCAGCAGCTCTGTCCTGTGGCATATTTGCTTAGACTGTAGACCGAGGAGGAGAGAGCAATTCCTGAAAGGCAGCTTTTTAGGACCTGTTGAGTTCGAGCAGACAGTGTGTGTCAGTGGGATAGAAGACGGGTGAGGGAGAACAGGAGGAGTCTGTGGTCTCGTCCCAGGGATGCTGAGTGTGTACACGGCCTCCCTCCAGCCGGGTGTGGGGGCAGGTGGACCCTGCTACTCTGCTCAGCTCCTTAGATCCACCTCATTCAGTCCAAGAGAGAGGGAGGCCTTTGCCAAGTTTTTCCAGATAAGGAGAGTGTTGCTTTCTCTGAGAGGGCATCAGCTCCTCTCACAATTGAAAGGTCCATAATGAGTCCTGTGCTGACTGCCATCCCCTCCACTGTGAGAACATGCTGCATCTTCAGCCAGCCTGAGCCCGTCGTGCAGGAGCCGAGGGTCTAGGTAAGGAGATCTGCATGGTCATTGGCTATCAGCACTAAAAGGAGCGTGTGTGATGTTCTCTCTGTGGTATACAAACATGGGATGAGAGAGAGTTTTCTGTGGAGCACAGGACTTGTAGGAAATGGGGCCTGGGGATAGGTGTGGGCTGCAGGAGGGTGGGCAGGAAGGTAAGCAGCAGGCCAACCATAGAGAGGCATTTAAAGGTGTTCCTGACAGAAGGTGGTCAGCTTCCCCAAGGCCCTTCCTCTCAGAGATGGCCCAGGACGATTCTCATTTTGCCTGTCAGTTTGCGTTCTGCCTCTGTTTGGGATGGTTGTGCACCTGAACTTTCCCAGGTTCAGGTAACCACGATATTCTCTGCCTTGTGTGGCACAGACCCTGTGGCATGCTTGAGAGGCTCTCAGCAGCCTGGCATGTCCCCTGGTGGGTGTCTGGAACTCCAGACACTTACCCCATGGAGGCTCCTTGGGCAGGGGCACTTCCCATCTGGACACAGTTTCCTCACTACAGACTGAAGATATAGTGCTTGGGCTAGTAGCCACATCTCAGGTTAGTGAAGTCCACAGGCTGCCCCTTTATGCACTGCCGCTGGATTTCTCCCCTGTGTGGCACCTGCACCTGCCTCCTTCACCTTCAGCTGGTTGGTTTTGGCTCAGTGCCCTGTCCTGTGAAGGTCATTTTAGGTTTGGTTTGTCATTCCATCTCCTAGGTGTCCAGATCTGGATCATGTGCTTGCCTGGGGCACTGACCCCCTTCCAGAACACCTCAGCCTTGGGGAGCAGAGGCAGAAGGTGGCCCACTCCTGTCATGACACTAAGCTGTCATGATGTTTTCCTTCTTACTGACAGAGGTAACATGGAAGACTTTGCCATTTAGTCAGCTTACCAACAAAGAACATTGATCACATGTGTGGACAAAGCTGCTCACTTCCAGTTGTTCCAGTTTTGTAAACCTTCCGAGTCTGAGAGCTTCAGACCATTTCTGCAAATTGTTTTGGTGCCTGGGGAGATTTGGTGTCTTTTTGGCACCTGTTTGGTGCCTGGGGTATTTGGGCATTGAAGGTGTGAAGTTCAAGCAGTCAGGTACCCTTTTACTGTTTCTGTTCTCATCTTGTGTTTTAAGATTTCTGGTTCATAGATCATATATATATATATATATGTTTTTTTTTTTTTTTGCCATACAGCATTATTTTGTGTATTAAAATTTTAATAATTTAGATGATTATTTTGTAGTGGATGGATTAAGTAAATGATACTAGATTCCACTTCATATGTGGAAGTGTTTACAATGTTACATAGAAAAAGCGGGTTACAAAAGAAGATGGATAATGTGATTATAATTATAAAATGACTGGAAGAAAATACATGAAAATGTTCTAAGTGGCTATAACTGTGATAGTATCATGAATCACTTACCCTTTTTTTTGTTTTTTAAATATTTTCTAAATTTCCTACAATGGATATGTATGATACTCGGGAAAAAAGATTAATTTCTGAAAAGTTTATGCTCTTTGATTTACTAATTTCTGTTCTAGCAGTCTGTTCTAAGAAGATAATTAGAAACATAAATAAAGATCTCGTACACAAAGATATCCATTACAGAATCAACTTAGAACAGGTTAGGTGGAAAGCCGCTGTCCAGTCCTTCAGGACTGTTAATTGGGTCATACTTCCTGCTGTGGATGCTGGAAGCACATACGTTTATGACCCCGGTTTTTTCCAGCTGTATAATATATTCCCCCAGACCAGGGCCACTCCCTTTTAAAGTTTTTAGCTGGACCTAGTTGAAATAGCCTTAGCTTTCCATTACAGCCAGCATTTTGTTTAAACCAGTGACGTATTCTTCATTTGGGATTTTTAATGGTGGTGTTCTAGGCTGATACAGCTGATGTGGCTTCTGTCCTAGGAGGTTCCTCCTTGTCTCATCAGAGCTCATTGGAGAGCTGTGCTTGTGGCTCCCTCTTTGTTTATTCCTTTCTTTGTATCTGCAGTTATGTGATGAGGTCTGCTTTTTGGTGACTGTCAGCCCTGTGACGGTGCCTCTCTGGCACTTGGGGGTTTGTCGGTTTGGCCTGGGCTTACTTCCTACTTTTATACCTTCTGAGGTGACACGAGCGACACGTCCACTTTCCTTGCCTGACTGAGCCTCCTTGGTCAGAATTCAGTCAGAGCAAAGCTCCTCAGTGACTTCCTCTGTCTTCTGAGAACTGCGATCCAGGAGGTTGAGGAAAGCATTATTTCTGTGTCTGCAGAGAGCAAGGTTGTACCTTGGGCCTGGCCACTTCTGCCTTATTGCTAAGCAGTCGGGAGATCTGAGGGCCCCGACTTGCTCACACTTCCCTGTGGCCCTCACTGTGGGCCTCAAGGCAGCCCTACTTCCCCTTTACATGCTGTCAGGCTTTTCGTGCCTATAGGGGTCAGTCCCACACACAAGGTGTACCTGTCCCCATGGGCCTCCCCATGTTCTGGTAGTAGTATGGGTGGTGTGTGACCTCCCCCATGGCCCACACCTGCGCCTGCTTCAGTCCTGCAGAGGACACCATGAAGTCAGGATGGAGTCGCCAAGGCTTGAGAAGGACGTGCCCCACACAGGTTGGATAAGGGGCCAGCACGTACTGTGCCCTACCCCAAGGCCGCATCCAGTCTGGGCTCCCTGCTTTTGCCTGTAGAGTACTGGGCTCCCACCCTCCACAGGCATCTTGTGATGTCACATCTTCATCCTGTGTCAAATGGGCTTTGTATTTCTATCTGAGGCTGTACATTCCCCACTGAAGCCAAGCTGCACCCTTGGAGCACCTCCTGTTGGAGCCAGTACTGTAAGCCCTGCTTCTTGTTCCCTCCATGGTCCTGCGCGTCCTGGACATGCCTTTCTGGTTGGGTTTGCAAAGGTGAGCGACTTCGGCACCTCCTGCCCCTGGTGACTGACAGACCCTGGACAGCCTTCTTCTCTGGCTGGGACAGAGCCGGAGCTGTGGGGTGAGGTGAGAAGGGTCTACAGGGAGGGCAGCCTCTTTAGACTGCACATTTGGGATCCCCCACGGCCCCTCCTAGGAGTCTATCTTGACAATTTGGGAGCCGGAGCTGAGTGTTGCTTCTAGAAGGCTGGGGCAGCATCCTGAGGGGTGACCCCTGCTGCTGTTGTCTCTTTCTGTCTTCCCTGCCCACGAAAGTTGTCTGATCTCAACTTCAGGTTATCTCCTTAGTCTGTTGGGAGACTTGACCTTGGTCCTTGTCCTTTGACGGGTCTCTGGAACAGCTGATTTGTGGGTGATACCCCTCCAGAGTGAGTTCCCTGTGGATGACAGGAAAGTCTCTCCTTATCTGTCCTGAAAGGCTCTTCTAGTTAGTAGCGTCAATTCTACTCATAAGGTGCCCCCTCAGGCTTTCCATTGGCAGGTGTCCCTTTTAATATATTGGGGGTTTTGTGGCCTTCTATTTTTATTTAAGACCAATTATTGCTTCTTCCCTCTAAAAATACAGAATATCAGAAGGAAGGAAGTGAAAAACACCCAGTATTTCTCCATGAAGAGAATAGCTTTTGTTAACACTTTGGTGCACTTTCTTCTTGTCTTTTTTTTCTACTTATTGTCAAGCACCGCTTAACACCAGGGATGCATTCTGAGAGCTGCATTGTTGGGTGATGATGTTGTCACAGAACGTCATAAAGTGCACTCACACCACTTTCCCAGCCATGGGTGCCCCTTGGACTCACTGCGTCTTTCTGCTAATGAGAGCCGCTACGGTGTTAATTTTTCACCTGTTTCCTGCCAGCTGCCTGCCTGAGGGTAGTGGGGCCCTGTGGCCTATGCATTACCGAAGCTCTCAGCCTGGTACGTCTTGGGGACCACTCACCTCAGCCAGCCCAGTCTGATCAGGCCCCTCACATGGGGCACTTGGCGTGGGTTGTACAGGATAGGTGAGCTGAGTGTGTCTGAGTTTTGGTGTTAATGAGAGCTGGCTGATACTGCAGTTTCCCTGGGAGAGTGTGGGTAGGTGGGTTTCTTGTGTCAGTTTTTGGATGATAAATGGGTGGGTGGAGAAAGCAGTTTCCCTTGAAATGGACAAATCTCTGTATTCAGGTTTCCTTGGTTGGTTGTGGCTCTTGGGCTCCATAATGGGAAGGCATAGCAGGAGATTTCCTGTGCGTGACAGCAGGGAGGCCAAGCCACTGTGTTTGGATGTGATGATGGAGGAAATGTGAGGAAGGGGCTGGGAGGGCCGAGAGGGAAGGCCGCTTCAGGCTTCTCGTCCCAGGCTTGGAAGGCCTGTGTGTTACCCTCTCCTGAGGGGCAGCACAGTAGCCAGTGCCCCCAGCCCCTGCCAGCGACTCAGCAGCAGTGAGGAGCCTGGCCACCAGAAAGACTCAGAGAACCTCCCAGTGTCCAGGCCCTCCTCTGAACTCGGCTCTACCCCACATGACCTTGACTTTTGCAGTCAAGGCCTTGATCTTGATCAAGGCTTCTCTCCAGACTGAGGCTGGGCCAGCAGGTGGGGCTGGGCCTGGGTTTTCTAAGACCACTTCCCTCATTCTGTAGACTGGGACTCAGTTGCCCACCTTGGAGGGAGAGACGGCTAGAGATGATGAAGTTCAGGAGTGTAGCCTGGGGCCTGAAGTGCTGGTGCTAGCACCTGCTGGCTATTGCAGTAATAATTATTAAGTGCTAGAGGGAAGAATAATGTTATTTTATTATCCACAAGGACTGAGGACTAAGTCCTGCAGTCATTTAGGCTCTGACATGTTTTTCTCCTGCGACCTGTGTATGTTTTTTCTTTGTATAATGCCCTGTACAACTTTTTTTTTTTTTTAATTTTTCTTTGTAAGCCAGATAATGGCTTTCTGAATTAACTTCTACTTTATGTGAATAGTTTTGTGTGTAATCATAATGCATAGGAAATTTATAATTTCCATTTATGAATACACAGAAAAGACTACTTGTTCCCGCCTTTCCTGGCAACACAGTGGCAGGGTACTTTGGAAAGCTGAGTCTGTATTAGCAGGTGAATGCTGCCAGGTCAGGGGGTCCTGTGTTCTTGTAGTTAGTATTTCTGTTCATGGGCCCAGTGAATTCCTTCTTCTGAGGCTGCGGCAGGGAATTTCTGCGATGAGAAAGCTCGTGTGTGTCTTGGCCTGGCATCACCCTGCTCAGGACTGCTTTGCTGCAAAAGTCCGTTGTACAGCTTTTGAGTTAGTTCCGTGATAAACCGAGAGAGGCCTTGCTTTCCTGTAGATGCTGCAGAGCTCTGTGCATGCAGTCTGGCGGGTGAGTAGGCTGGGCCCCTGTGGGTGGCGGGGTTTGTCCTATGTGAGGGACGGGGAGAACTTGCACCATGGCATCGTGGGTCAGTCTACACTGGTCAGGTATTTAATATAATATATTTTCGTATTGTGTTAATTTTCAAGCATGACCAGGATTACTCTGGTAAACTTACTAATTTTCCTCAATCACACTTACACGTCACTAGTAAAGTGTCGCTGAATGCCTGCTATCAGTGGAGAGCTGTTCTGTATTTGGTGCCTAATTGTTGGAGGACGGGTCAGGCACACTCGAATAGCACACACCATCATGTGCAGGTGAGGATCAAATGCACTTTCAGGGAAGCGAGCTTCTGGAGAGCCGACTAGAATTAGGATTTCTGTTGATCAACTTCTGCCTTCCCTTAAATTTTGGTGGAATTATAGTTCTATTAAAATGATCCTTAGGCAGTCATTTCCCACGATTGATTGTTGATACCTGCCTTCAGCTTGGGAGGGGACAGCGGTACCATGCGTGCCATTGGTCTTGGCTTCCCCAGGTCTCAGCTTGGGGCTCAAGGAGGGGACAGCTGTCTGCAGAACAGCAAGCCAGGAGCATGGCACTGGCTGGGAATTGGAGCTCAGTAAGAGGGGCCCTGGGGGCTGGATGCTTGGGATTTAAGAACAACAATGTACATTGTCTAAGTGGGGCCATGGGGAGCTGGCAGGGGAGTCTGGCTTGGTCTCCATAGGGCCTTTGTTGTTCCTTAGGCATCTTTTGATCTAGAAAATGGCCTTTTCTAAGCCTTCATTGCAGCCTGCTTCCTCCCACCTGCCTAGGCTTTGCTCTGTGGCCTCAGCCGGGGCGCTACCCAGGGCGTTGGACCGCCCACCCTTGCACTGCAGTTAGAACCCATCCCAGGCACATTCTTCTTCCTGCATATAATATATGTTCTTATAATGTATTTTTTGAACATTTAAAAAATTGGAATATTAAAAATAAAGATAAATTTTTAAAAAATGATTGTAATCATTGCTACTTGGATATGTTGTTACACTTGTGCTGAATGTCCTTTTAGATGATTTGATGTAGACAAATCATACTCATTTTATTAAAAAATTTTTATTTTAAAAACTTGAAGTTTAACATACCTACAGAAAACTACTCAGATCATGAGTATAGCTTAATTATCACAAAGTAAGTGGACCCATAATCCTCTGACGAGTCCCTTCTAGTATCTTCCTCAGCAACTGTTCATGCACGTCCAAGGGGTGGGCACAAGGGGTCAATGTTACCTGCTTTCTGAACTTGATGTAAGTAGAATTATGCCCATATATGTGTGCGTGTGCGTGTGTGTTTCTCTTTTTATGAAAATAGGCTCATTCTGTAAGCCCTGTTCTGTAACTTTCTTCATTTAGCAATATGTGATGACCACAAATCTGTGTCTGTAAATACTGATCTTTTTATAAATCACTGACTGGTTTGAAATGTGTCCCACTGTGTTTAAACCATCTCATTATTGTTGGGCATTTAGGTTATTTTCATTTTATTTATTTCCTTAAGATAAAGTCCTGGGAGGGGCTAGTGGGTTGGAGGCTGAAGGTTCCTGGTAGTCTTGCTGCCCAGCGTGCCTTTGCTGGGTCCCAGCCCTGGCCTCCCCACCCTGGGGGCTTTCCAGCCTCTTGGGCTTGGTACCTCATTGTGGGCTTTGTCCACTGAGGATGGGACCCCCAAACTGACAGCTTGCACCTTGGCTTTTAGCAATTACTAACCACACTTTGTTTTATTTTCCAACAGCGCTGTGTCGTGCTGCGTTTTCTGAAGTTTCCTCCAAATAGGAAGAAGGTAAGGTGGGTAGGTTTACACCCAGACATTACAATAATTATTTAAGAAAACTGATTTTTTTTTTTCTGATGTAGAAATATTGATGCTAGTTGTAGAATTCAAAGATGATACAAACATTTAGTGCAGAAAGTGGTGTGTCCATCATTCCTCATGTAAAACTGACTGGGCCCAGCACGTTGACCCGTGTGTCACTGTGGTAGTCCATGTGGCGCTCAGCCAGGAGCTGCCCTGGCCTGGCGTGCAGGTCCTGTTCAGAGGGCCCTGCTTGTGGCAAGGACCCCAGGACCAGGCAAGCTTTGCCTTGCCGAGTTCCTTAGCACTTGCTGCCTCAGTTTCCCCATCTGTGGAATTGTATGTATGAAAATGGAGTCTCCAGTGCTGGGGTAGACATTGCATGGGAGTGTTAAACATTGCAGCAGGAGGGGGTCGTTAGGTTTCTGTTTGCTGAGTCATTCAAAGAAAATACTGTGGACCACCTGTAGAAAGGCATTGCCCTCTCATTTTTGGCCACCCGAGTTGCAGCTTTCTGTGCAAATCTCTGTTGGTCCTGGGGTGCGCACCAAGTCATGGAGGCTTCCTGCATCCACAGCCCTCTCTGCTCCCCATCTGATACTTGTGGGTCCTGTGCGCGGACACATGCAGCTGAGCTGGGGGTGAGCTCCTGGACAGTCGCTGTCCCTCAGTGGGGGCAGGCGGAGGCTGGCTCGGGCGAGGATATATATGGGGCTAATGAGTCACTGCCCCTTGAGAGCTCCTGGGAGATGGCAGGTTGGATCGTCTGAGGTAGAGGTCATCGAAAGGGAGGCCGGGCGGTGGTGGTCGGTGGAGGTGACAGCTGCCGCGTGGGCACAATAGAAAGGGAGGAGAGAGCCATGGGGGAGAGCTGGGGTGTTGCCATTAGTGGGGCCACAGTGGGTTTGGGGTCAAGCTGGGCAGGGAGAGGAGGATGGGAGGGCTCCACTGTCTTGCAGTTTCCACCTCAGCTGCTGAAGAGAAACAGGCCTAGGTGGTTCTGGTTTGTGGAGCGCATCCCATGGAAACAAAGTCCCTGCGGCTGCCTCCAGCCTTCTCTGTCCCCTTCTTTGCCCCATTCAGTGACTGCAGAGCTCAAACCACCCTAACTTTAACTCCCCCGAGGCGTGGCATCTGTGGACCTCTTCAGATCTTCTGTGTGGAGTGACCGGGGCAGTGTCTGCCAGGCAGCAGTTAGCTACATTTCCTCTGTAAATGACATAGTGTGACACACTGTGTGATCAGTGGAGACTTGTGTGGTCACTTTTCTGTTGACCAGGGGGACTTTTTAAATTTTTATTTTGAGACAGAGTCTCACTCTGTTGCCCAGGCTGGAGTGCAGTGGTGTAATCTCGGCTCACTGCAACCTCTGCCTCCCGGCTTCAAGTGATTCTCCTGCCTCAGCCTGCCGAGTAGCTGGGATTACAGGCACCCACCACCACGCCCAGCTAATTTTTGTATTTTTAGTGGAAATGGGGTTTTACCATGTTGACCAGGCTGGCTTCGAACTCCTGACCTCAGGTGATCTGCTTGCCTCGATCTCTCAAAGTGCTGGGATTATAGGTGTGAGCCACCATGCCCGGCCAGTGGGGATTTTTTGTCAGAAACTGACTGCAGCTGTACTGGGCCACTGGGTGTGTTCTGGAGTTTTCTGTCAGGCTTAGTTCTGACTGATCTTGTTGCATGAGCACAGGACACCTGCACATGCTGTACCTGGCAGGGCACAGCTGGGTGTGGGCGGCAGGTTCTCCAGAGGCTACGGGCGCACAGGGCAGCTGCTCAGTCCTGGGACCTTCTTGAGCATGAGCCAGGTGCTGGGCACCTCCAGACCTGCCCTGGACGGGGGCCCACAAAGGCAGGTACCTGCAGGCAGTAGTGAGACTGCCAGGCCAGCCTTTGTGGATGTCTTCCTGAAGCAGCCTACTAGGGGCCCTCTGGGCTTCTCACTTTTGAGACAGGCTGAGGGAGGAGGGGATGATTTCTTGTCTCAGCCAGTTTTATCACCTTACTGACTCTTTAAGAACCTCTGCCTAGGGAAGGAATATTCTACATTTGGCCGGGCGCGGTGGCTCACGCCTGTAATCCCAGCACTTTGGGAGGCTGAGGCGGGTAGATCACGAGGTCAAGAGATCGAGACCATCCTGGTCAACATGGTGAAACCCCGTCTCTACTAAAAATACAAAAAATTAGTTGGGCATGGTGGTGCGTGCCTGTAATCCCAGCTACTCAGGAGGCTGAGGCAGGAGAATTGCCTGAACCCAGGAGGCGGAGGTTGTGGTGAGCCGAGATCGCGTCATTGCACTCTAGCCTGGGTAACAAGAGTGAAACTCCATCTCAAAAAAAAGAAAAAAAAAAAAAAAAAGAATATTCTACATTTAGTGGCTAAAGAGTAAAATCTCTTTAGAGATTGGGATGTGAAATGTCAGAGGTTTTCAAAGCCACATTGCTTGGAAGGTGTGTGTAGGGGTTGCTTTGGGAGAAGGGCAGACGGGAGGCGGCGGCAGCACAGTCCTCAGATTGCTACCTTTCCAAGCCTCTGGGCCAGGAAGGTGGCATGGTGGGGGAGGGACGCTGGTGGGGAGGGGCACTGGGGACCTTCTTCTGGATCTGAGGGTCATCACCAGGGTTCTGTCTGTGGCTGGGGCATCCCCCTGCCTGTGGCAGGATCTGTGGTGGTTTTTACCTCTCCCCTTAAGCCAGGCTCTGCTGGGAGGTCCCATCACGAAGGCTGTCCTGTGCTTGTCTCTTACAGACCTCGGAAGAGATATTTCAGCACCTGCAGAACATAGTGGACTTTGGCAAAAATGTCATGAAGGAGTTTTTGGGGGAGAACTATGTTCATTGTGGGGTAAGTACTTTTTATTCTTGGGCACATTTTGCGTTACCACCACCAACTTTCCAATGATGATGTGGAACTTTGTGCTTAATGATAACCCGTGGCCAGCTAGTCTCCAAGTGTTTCTCATTTGCTGTGCTGGGTGGCAGCAGAGCGGATACTGCATTTTCTCTGCCTGTCTGAGAAGCATGGGGTTCAGAGGGCCCACGTGAGCCCCTGCTCTTTAGGGTCCATCTCCACTGGCCCTCCTGGAGGCTCCTGCTCAGTGAGGGCTGTAGAGTAGCATCCAGTACCACTGAGTCCCAAGGAATGGCTTTCGTCTCTGCCCCTGGGCACCACTGAACACAGGAGGCCATACATGGGAGGATGGCAGGGCCTGCTGGGGCTGTCCTGGGGGCGGCTCATCACATCTAGGAAGGGCCTTGGCTGCTCAATGAATGTTAAAAGCTGGGGTTTAGAGAAAAGCTGTGGGAGTCCCTGGGCATTGCCGCCTGTGCTGGGGTCTGTGGGAACCAACCAGGGATGCCAGCCATGGCTCACCTCTTGCCTGGGGCTGTCCTCTGAGCAGAACTTTAGTTTTGAGGCCTGGACAGGCCCCTGGGTCCCACCCTACTGCGGCTGCTGCGGGCACATGGCTCGCCTCCAGCCTGTTCACTGCACTGTCGTGGTGCTGGGCACATTGGGAAGTCACAGTTCCCCTTTTAGGAAGATTCGTGGAGTTTTTCCCCAGGGCGTGTCCCTTGGATTGTTCTGTGCCGTGACCAGTTTTCTTCTTGAGGAAGGAACATTCTTGGGGGTGATATCCGCCGGAAGCCTCTGTGGCAGGAGGACTCGGGTGGTGATGGCCCTTGTTGGCCAGGGGCATTGACAAACCTGGTGACCTGGTGGGGTGAGCACTGGGCACTGCTCTGAGGGAGGGGAAAGGAGGGGGAGCATTTCTGGCAGTGAGCACTCTGGCTCTGGGTTTGTCCCCAGTGGGAAGGGTCACAATAAATGAACCAGCAGCATACAGGGCTCAACCCACAAGGCCACCTTTGAGCGCATTTTCTCCACCTTAAGATACCAACGAAGTGAAGCAGAGCTTGCTTGCACTGCAGGTGAGCGTGTCCCAGACGGACAGCCGCGAGGCTCTGGCACAGTGGGAAAGTGGGCACAGAAGGAAGAACAAATGTGTTGGCAAGTTAGGCAAAGCGTAGTGTTTCCCTCCTGTTTGTTTTGGGGCAAGATCCAACCAGGGACAAGATCCAAGAGACAGGGACAGGCACACCCTGGCTCTGGGCCCTGCCCAGTAGGGGTGGCATTGGTCTAGGCCTATCTCCAGTGCTGGGTTTGGGAGCTGGAGAGTTTAGGAAATCGGGATGGGGTAGAAGCTGCTTGCCTCATTCTTCCATTGTTGCTGGAGGAGTCTGAAAGCTCAGAAGTCCCACCTCGCTGCTGTGGGCCAAATCCTGGTGAGGTTGGATGCTCTCAGGCACTGGCCTCAGCTCCGTTGGAAACTCGCATGCTGACAGTTCTGTGCCACAGCCCAGTTTTCAGGCTGGGCACATGAGGAGTGAAGGGACAGCCAGGCTGGTGGCTGTTTGTCCTTCTGAGCAGTCATCCCTTTGCCATTTGGAGGGTGATGCCTGGAGGTCCTCCCACATCTCAGCACCCAGGTTACAGGAAGCTCTGTGGGAATTCCAGGGAATAGCTCCAGGAGGGGACTTCTGTGGGCTTCCCTCTGGTCCTCTTAGGTGAATGCCTTATGCAGGAGCTGGTTGGTGCCATCCTCACGTGGTTGGACAGTGGCATGGTCCACACTCGACAATGTGGTCGGACTTTTAAGAGGATGCTTACTGTCAGCATTTGTTTGTTTTTGTTTTTTATTTTTGAGACAGGGTCTTGCTCTGTCACACAGGCTGGGGTGCAGTGGTGCAGTCATGGCTCACTGCAGCCTCAACCTCCCAGACTCAAGTGATCCTCCTGCCTCAGACCCCCCTCCCTAAGTAGCTGTGACTACAGGTGCACACAGCCACACCCAGCTAATTTTATTTATTTATTTATTTGTAGAAATAGTGTTTCACCATGTTGGGCAGGCTGGTCTCGAACTCTTGGGCTCAAGTGATCAGCCTGCCTTGGCCTCCCAAAGTGCTGGGATTATAGGTGTGAGCCACGCACCAGGCCAACATTTATTTTGACTTTAAACACAGATATGCTTATTATAAAACCAATGATTCACAGCTGTTGAAAATAAACCCAGGTCTGCGTTTCACCTGGGTGACTGTGAGTTCAGGCCGTGCGTGGGTAGACAGCGGTGTGAAAGGTCGTTGCCAGGTATGTGGACCTGAGACCTGCGTGGCCGCGATCTCTCCCAGACGTATGTGCTGTGCGGTGGGGGCCCAGGCAGAGTGAGGGCCTCTTGTGATTCTGGGTGATAGTTCTCACATACGAGGCATCCAGCATCAGCATCTGCGCCTTTTGTGCTTTTGCTTTCTTTAACGTGGAGCAAGAACTTGGACTTCCTTGAGATGATCCGTAGGGTGGAGAAGGCGTCTCGGTGGGCAGGATCCCAGCATTTTTAGCCTAGCAGATCTTCTGTGTCCCTTTGAGCCTTTTTCAGAAGTCACAATTCTGCCACCCTGGAAACACGATAGGATGGCAAAGATGGTGAGCAATGTGGCTTACATAAAAACCTTTCATTTGGGAAACTGCACAGAAAAGCCATGTGGAGGAAAATGCTGGACATTGGTTATGCTGCGTGCTCCAGGGCTGAGGAGGCACAGGCCGTCTTCCTGGAATGAGTGATTGCCTCAGATGCCGAGCTGCTCCTCAGGTGGGAGCGTGAGGTCCTCAGGTTGTCTGAGTGGTCAGCAAGGGTCTTCCACATGGTCTAAGAACTGCTCTGGGTCCATAATGCTATAAAGACTAGAAGGGGCTCAGCCGGGTGCTCTCTGGCAAGGGATGCTGGCCTTGATGCTGGTCACCACTGTGGGCCCAGCCATTCTGAGAGCTGGCCACCCTGATTGCAGTGAAATATTGGTGTCTCTAATTAACCTGGACATGTCCTGAAAATAATAGAACAGCTTTTATTCCCAAAACCCACACACTGATTTTTTTTTTTTTTAGCAGTAAACTTTAAAAAAAATAAATGCATATAACATAAAAACCTACAACTCAACTGTGTGTAGGTATGCAGTTCTGTGGCATCGTGCTTATGTCATTGTTCAGTTCACACTGAGAATTTCGTGTCTTTTCTTACAGGAAGTTGTACAGCTACCTTTAGAGTTTGTGAAACAGCTTTGTTTAAAGATACAATCTGAAAGACCAGGTAAGGGTGTTTCACTTGTTTCACTTACAAATATTGTTTGTGATTTAAAATATTTCATTTGAAAAGTGTTTGAGAGGCTGGGCGTGGTGGCTCACGCCTGTAATCCCAGCACTTTGGGAGGCTGAGGTGGGCAGATCAGATCTGGAGGTCAAGAGATTGAGACCATCCTGTCCAACATGGTGAAACCCTGTCTCTACTAAAAATACAAAAATTAGCTGGGCGTGGTGGTGCACACCAGTAGTCCTAGCTACTTGTGAGGCTGAGACAGGAGAATCGCTTCAGCTGGGGACTTGGAGGTTGCAGTGAGCTGAGATCTTGCCACTGCACTTCAGCTTGGCTGCAGAGCAAGACTCCATCTCAAAAAAAAAAAAAAAAAAAGTGTTTGAAATGATATATTTGAAACATGCAGTTTTCAGTAATCCTTTTGCCAGAAACTTCATTATCAGGGTAGAAATCCTGAGAGATCATGGATACAATTCTCTGTATCAGAAAACCAGAGTATGCCCAGAATATGTGATGAAGAACCAGTTAACACGGGCACAGTGGCTCTTGCCTATAATCCCACCACTTTGGGAGGCTGAGGTGGGTAGAGGTGTCAGGAGTTCAGCCTGACCAACATGGTGAAACCCCGTCTCTACTAAAAAAAAAAAATACAAAAATTAGCTGGGCATAGTGGCGGGCACCTGTAATCCCAGCGACTCAGGAGGCTGAGGCAGGAGAATCACTTGAACTTGGGAGGTGGAGGTTACAGTTAGTGGTGATAATGCCGCTGCACTCCAACCCCATGCAACAGAGTCAGACTACGTCTCAAACAAAAAAGAGCCAGTTAATACAACAGAAAACAGCATGAGAGAGGAGCTGGAGGTGGAGGTTCTGGGACAGACTTAGGAAAGGGAAAGGTCCCTGGGGGGCCCTGGGAGAGGCAAAAGGAAACTGGGTGACCTGAGCTTCAGGAGGGAGGGCCTGGCCCAGGAGGGTATGCCGCCCTGGGAGCTGCCCCCAGCTGGAGGCTAGCGCAGATCCATGGGTCCGTGCTTTTCTGAGGAATAGGGAAACCAGGGGCCTTCTGTGGCATCACCTTCCCCATCCCCATGCCGTCCTTCCTCAATCCCCTCCCATCCCTTCACCCCTCCCTTTCCCCTCCATCCCCACCCACACCCTTTTCTGCACTTGCTGGTGGTTTTACTGACAGGAACAAGGTCAAAGCTTTTTTTTCAGTCAGTCACCAAAGAAATTTCATGAGTTGAGGGTGGAAATGCCTCTGCCCGGAACACAGCCAGGCAACGAGGGTGTGGAATTGGCCAGTATCAAATGTTTTCCTTATTTGATTTGGGAAATGAAAGCAGACCATTCTGTGGGTCTACCGTCTCTGGCTGGGGCAGGGAGGAGTGGGCTTCATGCTGTGGCAAAAGTTGGGGAGGCGGGAAGGCCACAGGACAGGGGCTGGGCTCCAGTTCCTCCTCCCAGTGAAGGCAGTCTGAGGCCGGCTCTAGGGTGCTGCCTGCGACTGCTCTGATACTCAGCCTGCCATTTCATAACAACCATGGGAGGTCTAACCACACCACAGTGATAAGAAGCAGTCTTGGAGTAAGGCTCGTTATGTTAAAGGAGGAAAGCCTGTCCCTGGGGTGCCTGGAGCCCAGGCTTATTTGGCTCTGTCCACACCACGGCTTCCAGCAGATTTGGTGCTGGGGAAATACTGGTGCACTGGGGACTGGGAAGGGCCGAGATGTGAGAAAAGGTAGGGCCTGCAGCCCCCTCCTCTTCCAGTTCCTGGGCTAAGGGTGTTATGGAATTAGAGGACCATCCCCAAGACCACCCTAAGGATTGATAATGTGCTAGAAGGACCAGTAGAACTTACTGTTTTACTCATGCTTATGGTTTATTACAGGAAAAAGATAAAGATGGAAGCAGCCAAGGGGAGAGGTGCAGGGGTGGGGTCTGGGAGAGACCTGGCATGAGCTTCTGGGTGTCCTCTCCCTAGGAATTATGTGGGCAGCATTCACTCTCCTATCGACCATGTGTGACACACACATGGAATGTGCCCACCAGGAAGCTCACTAGGTCTTGGTGTCCAGAGTTTTCATTGGGGCTAAGGCACATCGACATGGCTCACCATCTGTGTGGCTGACTACAGTCTCCAGCCCCTCCAGTGCTTGAGCTGATACCACAAGGCCTGAAGCTACCCCTTCCATAAACCAAGTTGTTACTGTGTGTGTCCCACAGCCCCCAGGGAAACATGAGGTTTTCATCAGGCACAGAGATGATACCCAGAAATCAGGGACAAGGTGGGGCCTGTCTTGGGCAGGGGTCATCTCATCTCTCTCACGGACCCTGCTCTGTGTGATCCTTGTTCTGTTTTCCAGAGTCTCGCTGTGACAAGGACCTGGACACTCTCAGTGGTTACGCTATGTGCCTTCCCAATTTAACCAGACTTCAGACCTACCACTTTGCAGAGCACCGGCCGATTCTGTGTGTAGAGATTAAGGTGATCTGTTGAGGGGGAGATGGTGTGGGGAAAGGGAAAAGGTCAGTCCTGGGTAGTGAGTCCAAGAGTTGTGTGCCGTGGGTTCTAGTTCCCACTGAAGTGACTGGTACACACCCTTGGCTCCTGGAAACTCCGCTTGCTTCTCCCTTCCACGGCCCCCGCTTGCATTGTGATTTCCTGCCATGGCTCCCAGACCTCAGGTTTATGCTCATTCCTGGTAGCTCATGACAGGAGACCCCACCTACCCTGCATGCCTGGGCTGGAACAAGCCCTGGTTGAGGGTCACCCGAGGGAAGCGTATTGGGGCCCCCCACCCCATTTTGCTCAGTGGGCACAGCTTGCCAGGGTCCCCTGGCTTTCCTCTGTGCCCCTCCCCGCTGGCCTTGCCTGCTTGGTGCTTGGCTGCTGCTCGCTGTGTTGCAGGAGCCCCATCCACAGCTTCCCTGTAGACTGGGGAGCTCTCCGTGTCCTGCTTGGGATGGATTTTCCTGGAGGCACAAAGGCCAGTGTGACCCTCAGAAGGCACTGATATGCCATGACCAGGAGTCCTGAATTTCTCTGGTGCCAGGCAGTGGGGGCCGGATGGGCCAGGGATCCCCTTGCTTTAGCTCTCTGCTACCCATGTCGGGGGTGGCTGTCAGGGTCCCTCAGGAAGCTGCCTCGCATGTTCTGGCCGTTGTTCCCCTCCTCCAACTCTAAGGCAGCAATTTCTGGGTCACACTCTTGGCCTGAGCTCATGCCTCATGGTTCTCCTCAGTTGTGGGTGGATGTTCTGCTTCTCCAGCCACGATATCCAGTGCCCTAGGCTCAGCGCAGGCCTGTGTATTGTGTATGCTCAGAGGCTGCAGCTTTTAGAGGGCAGTGGGGCTTCCTTGACCTTCTGGGAGCCTAGTAACTGTCAGATGGGCCCTGTCAGGCCACAGGCTAGTGTCAGCAGGAACAATGGTTCTGCTTCTTGGAGTTGGCAGTCCTGGGTCCATCTCTACTCCTAGAGTCTTGCAGTCACAGTCTTGAATGAAAGCACGAAGCTACTGTGTGTTGTACTTGTGTTAAGCCAGCACAGAGGCACCACTGACCCTCCTTAGTGGTAGTTCTGGCCACGGGTCCTCTAGCAGAGATGTTTGTGTGATCTGGTGCAGGAAGTGTTGTTCTCGCTGGGAGCTGCAAATGAAAACAGTTTCTGAGACTGTTCATACCTAACACTTGCTGCACTCATTATCTTGTAGTCGATGATGTGTCTACTTAGAGGTATATGATTTCTTCCTAAATATTTTTCCTCCTCATTTGTTTATTTTACAGCCAAAATGTGGGTTCATTCCTTTCTCGAGTGATGTCACGCATGAGATGAAGCATAAGGTCTGTCGTTACTGCATGCACCAGCACCTCAAGGTGAGGAGAGCCAATGCCCAGCTGTGGGTTACTCTGGCCTCTATGCAGAAGAGCTGCACGCTGGGGATCTGGGCTGAGGCACGGCCACCCACAGTTTTCAGAAGAGTAAAAGAAAATATGGATACTTTTAGTTGACATTTTATTTCACAAGTGATTCATGTTCACCTTTTTAATTTTTTTAATTTAGAGGCAGGGTCCATGTCACCCTGTCAGGCTGGTGCAGTGATGCAGTTATACTCACTGCAGCCTCAACGTCCTGGACTCAAGCAGTCCACCTGCCTTGGCCTCCCAGAGTGCCTGGTGTGAGCCACTGTACCCAGCCCATGTTCACCAGATTCACTCCTTTAAAATATATAATTCAGTGGTTTTAGTCTCTTCATAAGGTTGTACAATCACCACTTCTATCTAATTGCTGAAAATTTTTTTATCACTTCAAAGCAAACCGGAGTCCCTGTTAGCAGTCACTTTCCATTCCCCGTTCCTGCCATCTCTTGGCAACCATTAGTCTACTTTCTGTGTCTGTGGATTTCGCTATTCTGGACATTTCATATAATATCACAGTATGTGACTTTTTGTGACTGCCTTCTTTTACTTTGCATGATGTTTTTGAGCTTCATCCCTGTTGTGACATGTGTCAGCATGTCATTCCTTTTATGTCTGAATAATATTCCATTGCACGAATGTACCATGTTTTGTTTGTCCATTTATCTGTTGAATGGAATTCCAGTGAGTGGGTTGTTTCTGCCTTTTGGCTATTGTGAATAGTGCTACTATGAACTTTTGTGTAGGTGCTTGTTTGAGTCCCTGTTTTCAATTCTCTGAGGTAGATTCCCAGGAATAGAATTGCTGAGTCTTAGAGTAATCATATGTTTAACTTTTTGAGGAGCCTCCACGCTGTTTTCTACAGCAGCTGGACCACTTTACATTCCTAGCAGCAATGTGTAACAGTTCCTGTGTTAGTCAATTTTGTATTACTATAAAGGAATACCTGAGGCTGAGTAATTTATAAAGAAAAGAGGGGCCGGGCGCGGTGGCTCAAGCCTGTAATCCCAGCACTTTGGGAGGCCGAGGTGGGTGGATCACGAGGTCAAGAGATCGAGACCATCCTGGTCAACATGGTGAAACCCCGTCTCTACTAAAAATACGAAAAATTAGCTGGGCATGGTGGTGCGTGCCTGTAATCCCAGCGACTCAGGAGGCTGGGGCAGGAGAATTGCCTGAACCCGGGAGGCGGAGGTTGCGGTGAGCCGAGATCGCGCCATTGCACTCCAGCCTGGGTAACAAGAGCAAAACTCCGTCTCAAAAAAAAAAAGAAAAGAGGTTTATTTGGCCCACAATTCTGCAGGCTGTGTAAGCATGGCAACCGCATCTGTTCAGCTTCTGGTGAGGCCTCAGGAAGTTTAAAATCATGGTGGAAGGCAAAGGGGGAGCCAGAGTATCACGTGGCAAGAGAAGGAGCAAGAGAGAGAGGGAGGAGGTGTCACGCTTTTTTAAACAACCAGATCTCTGTGAACTCATAGAGTAAGAACTCACTAATTATTATGAGGATAGCACCAAGCCATTCATGAGGGATCAGTCCCCATGACCCAAACACCTCCCACTAGAACCACCTCCAATTCTGGTGGTCACATTTCAACATGAGATTTGGAGGGGACAAAACATCCAAACCATATCAGTTCCAATTTCTCAACATGTTTGTGGTTATTGCCATCCTAATGTTTGTGAGGTGGTATCTCATTGTGGTTTTGATTTACATTTCCCTAAATGATGTGATATTGAGCATCTTTTCATGTGCTTATTGTCCATTTTGTATCTTCTTTGGAGAAATGTCTATTCAAGTTCTTTGCCTTCTTTTTTTTTTTTTTTTTTGAGAGAGAGGTCTTGCCCTGTCACACAGGCTGGAGTTTAGATGTGTGATCACAGCTCACTGCAGCCTCTGCCTCCTGGGCTTGATGGATACTTCCACCACGTCAATCTCTTTAGTAGGTGGGACTACAAGTGCATGCCAGCCACCACACTCAGCTAATTTTTGTATTTTTCGTAGAGATGGGTTTGGCCACATTACCCAGACTGGTCTCAAACTCCTGAGCTCAAGCTGTCTGCTCACCTTGGCCTCCCAAAGTGTTGGTATTACATGCATGAGCCAACATGCCCAGCCATTGGCCCACTTTTTTTTTTTTTTTTTTTTTTTTTTTTTTTTGAGACGGAGTTTCGCTCTTGTTACCCAGGTTGGAGTGCAATGGCGCGATCTCGGCTCACCGCAACCTCCGCCTCCTGAGTTCAGGCAATTCTCCTGCCTCAGCCTCCTGAGTAGCTGGGATTACAGGCCCGCACCACCATGCCCAGCTAATTTTTTGTATTTTTAGTAGAGACGGGGTTTCACCATGTTGACCAGGATGGTCTCGATCTCTTGACCTCGTGATCCACCCGCCTCAGCCTCCCAAAGTGCTGGGATTACAGGCTTGAGCCACCACGCCCGGCTGGCCCACTTTTAAATTGAATTTTTTTTGTTACTGAGTTGTAAGTGTTCTCTATACATACTGGATAGTAAAGACTTATGAGATATGTGATTTGCAGATATTGTCTCCTATCAGTTGCCTTTTTTCTCTGTTGATAGTGTCCTTTATGCACAAACGTTTTTAATATCGATCAAGTCCAGTTTGTCTATTTTTTCTTTTGTTACTTATGCTTTTGGTGTCATATCCAAGAAATCATTGCCAAATCTAATGTCATGAAGCTTTTCCCTTATGTTTTCTTCCAAGAGTTTTAGATCTTACATTTAGATCTTTGAGCCATCTTGAGTTAATGTTTGTATGTAGGGCTAGGTATGTGTCCAACTTTATTCTTTTTTGTTTGGTTATCCAGTTTTCACCACACTTGTAGAAAACACTGTCTTCCTCCAAATAGTAGTCCTGATACCCTTGCTAGAGACCTTTTGGACGTATATATGAGGATTTATTTCTGGGTTGTCTATTTTATTCTACTGGTCTATATGTATGTCTCTATGCCAGTACCTCACAATTTTGATTACAGAAGCATTCTAATACGTTTTGGAATCAGGAAGTATGATGCTTTCAGCTTTTCATCTTTTTCAAGATTATTTTTTAGCTATTTGGGACCACTCATGCTTACATATGAATTTGAAGATTGGTTTCATTTCTGCAAAAAAAGGCTGTTAGAATTTTGATAGAGATCACAGGAATATAGATCACCTGTGGTATTACTGTCTTAACAATAGTCTTTTTTTTTTTTTGAGGTGGAGTCTCACTGTCGCCAGGCTGGAGTACGGTGGCACGATCTCGGCTCACTGTAGTCTCTGCATCCCAGATTCAAGCAATTCTTCTGCCTCGCCTCCTGAGTAGTTGGGACTACAGGCGTGTGCCACCCTCCCCAGTGAATTTTTGTATTTTTAGTAGAGATGGGGTTTCACCATGTTGGCCAGGATGGTCTTGATCTCTTGACCTCGAGATCCGCCCTCCTTGGTCTCCCAAAGTGCTGAACAATAGTAAGTCTTATACTCCATGAACATGGGATGTCTTTCCATTTATTTAGGTGTTCAATTTTTTTTCAGCAATGTAGTTTTCAGTGTACAGGTCTTTCAGTACTTTAAATTTATTCTAGGTATTTTATTCTTTTGGAATATTGTAAATGTGATTGTAAATGAGCTGCTTCCTTAATTTTCTTTCGTATTTTTCATTACTGATATATAGAAGCAACTGATTTTTGTGTGTTTATCATATGTCCTCTGACTTTGCTTAATTTTTAAATTAGCTCTTGGAGCTTTCTTGTGGGCTCTTTGGATTTTTCTGTATGTAGGATCATATCATTTGTGAATAGAGGGTTTTACTTCTTCCTATCCAATTTGGATGCCTTTAGCTTGTCCATTTCTACTAAGAAATCATCGGAGATTTTGATAGGGATTCTACTGAATCTGTACATCATTTTGGGAAGTATTGCCATTTTAACAGTATTAATATTTTCAGTGTGAACATAGAATTTCTTTCTGTTTATTTAAGTCTTTTGTTTCCTTCAATGGTGTTTTGTATTTTTTCATGGATAAGTCTTATACTTCTTTCGTTAAATTCATTGCTAAGGGTTGGGCATGATGGCTCATGCCTGTAACCACAGCACTTTTGGAGGCTGAGGTGGGTGGATCACTTGAAGACAGGAGTTTGAAACCAGTCTGGTCAACACGGCGAAATCCTGTCTGTACTAAAAATACAAAAATTAGCTGGGCATAGTGGCTCGTGCCTGTAATCCCAGCTACTTTGGAAGCTGAGTCATGAGAAACGCTTGAATCCAAGAGGTAGAAGTTGCATTGAGCCAAGATCATGCCCCTGCACTCCAGCCTGGGTGACAGAACAAGACTCTGTCTCAAGCAACTATAAATCTTTCTGTGAGTAACTGCTTTCTCTTAATCCCATAAATTTTGGTATGTTGTGTTTTCATTTTTGTTTATCTTAATTCTCTGATTTCTGTTTTGATTTCTTCTTTGACCCAATGACAATTAGAAGTGTTTACTTTTTACATATTTGGGAGTCAAATTTTCTTTTGTTATTGATTTCTAATTTCATTCCACTGTGTTTGGAGAAAATTGTTTGCATGATTTCACTATTAAAATTTATCGAGACTTGTTTTGTGGTTTAACATAAGGTTCCTCTCCAAGAATGTTCCATGTTTGCTTGAGCAGAATGTGTAACCCGCTGCTGCTGGATGTAGTTTTCTATGGATAGGTTAGATCTAGTTGGTTTATACTGCTGTTCAAGCCTTCTTCCTTGTTGACTTTCTATCTAGTTGCTGTGAGTATTAATTTCACATAATAACTTAAAAGAGTATAGTTTAATACCAACTCCATTTCAATCGTAGACAAAAGCTTTACTCCTCTAAAGCTTTGCTGCCTCCTCCCACCTTTGTGCTGTTATTGGGATACAAATTAGATGTTTCCACATCATGTTCTGGGCGACACAGATTTATAATTATGACTTTATGCAGTTGTCTCTTAAATTATATAGAAAAAGAGTTACAAAAAATGTTTATACCTTCTTTTATGTTTACCTATGTAGTTACTTTTACTGATACTCTTTATTTCTTCCTGTGGATTTGAGTTACTGTCTAGTATCCTTTATTTCATCCCAAAGGATTCCCTCTAAGTAATTCTTATAGGGTAGGTTTGCTAGCAACAAATTATTTTAGCTATGGTTTATTTGGCAATGTGTTAATTTCTCTTTCATTTTCAAAGGATAGCCTTGATCTAGAATTCTTGGATGGCAGTCTTCCTTTTAGCACTGAGGATATGTCATGATCTTGCCTCCTCCTGGTCTTCATGATTTCTAATGAGGAACCAGCTGTTAATCTTAGGGATGGTGCTTTGTATGGGATGAGTCACCTCTCGCTGCTTTTTAAGATTCTCTCCTTGTCTTTGTCCTGTGACAGTTTGATTTTGGTGTGTCTAGGTGTAGATCTCTTGATCTCTATCCTAAAATTTACCCGTTTTCTCTTCTGCCTACTCAAGTCTGCTCTTGAGCCCCTCTAGTTACTTTTTCATTTTAGCTACTGTACTTTTCAACTAAAGAATTTCTTTCTTCCTTTTTTTTTCATTTTAAACAATGTCTTGCCCTGTCACCCAGAGTGGACTGCAGTGACATGAACATGACTCACTGTAGCCTTGATCCCCCTGAGCTCAAGCCATCTTCCTGCCTCAGCCTCCACCTAGTAGCTGGGACTACAGGTGCATGCCACCATGCCCAGCTAGTTTTTAAACTTTTTGTAGGATGGGGTTTTGTCATGTTGCCCAGGCCGGACTTGAACTCCTGAGCTCTGGCAGCCTGCCTACTTCAGCCTCCCAAAATGCTGGGATTGCAGGCGTGAGCCACCATGCCTGGCCAGAATTTCGTTTTGGTTCCTTTTTATAATTTGTACCTCTCTATTGATACTCTCTATTTGTTGAGACATTATTCTCCTCATTCATTTTGGTTCTTTGTCTCTACTTTCCTTTAGCTCTAATCATATTTAGGTTGGTTGAAGTCTTTGTCTAGCAAGTCCAGTGTCTGGGCTTCCTCAGGGACAGTCTAGAGATTGTATTTTTTCTTGTATATAGGCCATACTTTGTTGTTTCTTTGCGTGTTTTATGATGATAGGTTGAAAGTGGGTATTTGAAATAATATAACGTGGCCCCTCTGGAATTAGATTCTACTCCCTCTGCAGGATTTTTAATTGCTGCTTGTTGTCGTTGTTACTGTTTGTTTAGGGACTTTTCTGCACTAATTTTGTGAAGTGTGTATTCTTTGTCATATGTGGCTTCTAAAGTCTGCTCAGTTAGCTTAGTGGGCAGCTAGTGGGTCAGTAGATAGTTTCTTCAATGGCAGGCATGCCAGAATGAATAAGTCTCCTAGTCTTTGCTGAGGAGCTCTGTTTGTGTGTTGGGGCCCACTCAGTATTCACTAGGGTGGTTTGATAGTTTTGCCTTAGCCTTCACTTCCGTGGAGCCTCAGATCAGCTCAGGTAAGAGCTGAGGGCCTTCTCAGATCTCTGAGTCTTTGTAAAGGCTTTCCAGATTCCCAGGTATACGCTGGGGCTTTCAGAGCCTTTGTGCACAGCTTGTTACTCAGCTTTTCCTTTTGAGTTTTGATTAATCATTTGCTGTTTATTCACCTTCCACAAAAGCATCAAGTTAAACAGTTGCCTCTAAATGTTGTTGACAAATGCCCCTGGGGAAAAGGCCTCCTGCATGGGTGAGTTCTGAGCCAGGTCAGTGAAGACAGCCTTGCAAGTGTGATCTTTCCGGGAACCCAGAGATAGGTCAAATAGTGACTCTCTGAGAGTGAGGCTTTGGAGATGCCCTGCCCTCTTCTGTGCTGTCTGTGGCTGCCAGGCAGCTGGTTTTCACTGTGATTGCAGCTACTGGTTTTCAGGGTTCCCTTGGAGCTAGAGATAGGAGGATGGGAATAGGGGATTTAAAGTGCCAATAAGCTTACTGATCTTGGTTAGATTTAGCTGTTTTTCTTGAATAAATGCTTCGTGGATTGTTTCAAGTCTGTGGTCAATTTCCAGACTTCAAAAATTTTGATTGTGACTTTTTAACCAGTTTTCTGATTGCCTTTAGGAGGAGAGAATTTCTGGAGCTCATTGTGCCACCATTTCACCAACATCACCCCTTCTTTTCTTTGTGGTGTGATTACTATCTAAGCTCTTAGGGGAAAGATGGTATGTGAACCATGCCCCTTAGGATACGATTTTCATGGTCACCATTCACTTTCAACATATGTGACAAATTTTTAAGAAATATTTTGTACTATAAAGCACTACCTGCTCATATAACCGGTAACATATGACATGGCATGAATTGGATGTCCTGCCTTCCCAGGTAACTCATGTTGTCAGATATGTTTGCATATCTTTCAGACTTCTTCCTGTGCCCACAAAAATATGTGTGTAATTCAGTGGAAATGAAGTGATCTCTCTTCACATATTCTAATGTTTACATTCCTGTACGTATACACACACACTCTCTTACAAAGGAAAAATGGGATCATGCCATATGTACTTTGTCTAACTGCTTTTTTCACTTGATCCTTGAGGATCGTTTGTGATTGTTTAGGGCTTTTTCAGTGCATATTTGGATATATGCATGTATATTTGTACATGAGCTTTTTTTTTTTTTAAGCAAAAATGACATTACACTGTATCTATTGTTCCGCCAGTTGCTTTTTTCCTTGAATAAATCTTGGTGACTTTTAACTCTGCCTCTTTCTGTTCGTGGCTGCATATCATTTATACATTCCTTCATTCAATAAATTGCTTGTTGTGTGCTGGCCCCACTTGTGGATGGGCTGTGATTTATTTAGTCATTTCCCTACTGATGACTGTCTCTCTTGGTTTCAGGGTTTGCTGTTATCCGTAAGGCTGCAGTGGACATTCTTGTCTCTCTACCTTTTTGCCCTGTGCTAGTTCTTCTAGGTTCCTTGTAGATTTGCTGAGTCAGGGGACATAGACATTTTAAAGTTTGGTGGATACCACCAAGTTGCCTTTCAAAATGTTAGGCCAATTATCTTCCAACTGGCAACATGACATTTCTTGTTAATGGTTACTGGATATTATAATTTCTAAAGGTTTGTTACATTATCAGAATGTTGCCATGTAATTTGAAGGTGTTTGCTGCTTTCTTCCCTGCTCCTGTGAAGGGCTGGCCTGGGGGCCGTGTCACGTCGCATCTCACAGATGGGGCCAAGGTTTCCTTGAATGGAAGTCAAGTGGCTCCCTCCCCCACTCAGCGATGTGCACCTGCAAAGGTGGTGGCACCTTTTCCAGGGCAAGGCTTCAGCCCGTCTTCATTGTCTTCATCATTGATGCTGTTCTGTGTGTTCAGTTGGCACAGTGCAGTCACCAGCACCAGTCACCTCATGCCCTCCTGTTGGTGTTTTCACAGGTGGCAACTGGGAAGTGGAAGCAGATCAGTAAATACTGTCCCCTTGATCTCTACTCAGGGTAAGAGAACACTTCTCCTTTGCCCCCTTGTGTCACGTTCCCTGGAGATGGGTGGGGTGGGGACGCAGTGCCTGGTGGGGGGTATTTTGTGAGATAGGAAGTGGGGGAGGGCCCCATTCTGTCTTCAGGGCTCCCCTTCGCCATCAGCACTATAGACACCTGGGGCTTTGTGCTCCATTCCTGTCTCTGTGCTCGCAGTCTTAGGTGCTTGCTCACGTACTGGTTGTTCCCTCATCCGAATTGTGACCAGATTTGTCTTCTACTTATATCAGAAATCAGCTGGTGCTCAGCCTTGACCTCCTAGTCTGGGCCCTCATAGTTTGGTTGGTTGTGCCTTTGATCTCTCTCTCCTCTGCGGATGTTAAAAAGTCTGCTGCTGCAGTGGCCATTTCTGTCTGGGCAAGGCCTGCTTGCAGCCTCTGATCAAGCACCTGAGTTCTACTCCCCACCTTGGCACTGCCTCCACACTCCCTGGCCTTCAGAGCTTTGCTGTGTGCCACACACTACTCACCTGGGGCAGCCCAAAGTCCAGTCCTGGCCAGAGTCTTTGTGGTTAGGAAGGCAGTAGTGGCTGGGAGCTGGGGAGGGTCAGTCAGCAGTGGGGCCTGGGGTCCAGCGGGCAAGGCCCTGAGGCCAAGGGGGCAGCAAAGGGAGTTGGCAGGACTTAGGGTGGGAGCAGATGGAGGGAGATGGGACCTGGGCAGCACCTGGGATTCAGGGGAGTACCTCCCGGCCCTTCACCTCACCTTATACGCCCAGGAGAGAGTCCTTGGCCACAGGGCAGTGTGGATTTATGAGCCATTGCTGTCCTTTTTGATCAGCACGGCTTTCTCCTTTCCCTCCCTGGGACCCCCATTACCGCAGAGCTGTTTTCTGGAGAGTCCGGTTTTTCTCACTCAGCTGCGTGAGTTTCTTTACTCTTTCCTCCCACCCTGCCCTCTGACCATTCATTTCGTGCCCCTGCCTTTGTCAGTGCTCAGCACTGCCTCTTGAGTGCGCACCTGGTCGTCATGTCAGTGCTTTTGGTTAGATGCTCTTGCAAACTTCCTGGAACAAAGATCAAACACAGAGTTGTCTTTGGAAGTTAAAAAGTTCGCAGACATCGGGAATGTTCATTCGGAAGGCGGCACCAATGCCGCTTGCTCCATGGCTTCAGCGAGGCTAGCAGTGCAGTCACCTGTGGGTCCCATGTGGATTTCCCTTTGCACCTAAAGGCTGTAAATTGTGAAGCATTTGTAATAAAGATTAATTGTTGATAATTTATTAAATTGTCAGAACATAGGTAGGGAACCCTCCCTGGAATGTTGTAGAATGCAGGCTTTTGGGAGTCAGCTAGAGAGTGCATGGATACTGGGCACGTTTCTGAGTGTGTGCTCGTGGGCTCTCCTCACTGGCAGGGCCAGGCTCTCGTGCCTGCATGGGCAGCTTGACCCCCTGAGGTTCCTATGTGGAGGTCGGGGAGGAGACCAGCCTCACAGCTCTTTGCTTGGAGGGCGAGGCTCTCTGGGGCTCCAGCCTGTCCCTGGCTCCCGGCACCCGCTCCATGGCCCGTCATGGGCCTCCTGCTGCCCCTGAGCCTTTGGAAGTTGCGGCAGGAGGAACAGGGGAGGCAGAGCAGCTGTTAACTTCTCTTGGGTCGGGCTGTGATGCTGCTGGCCGGGTTCCCCCTCGTGTGCCTCAGTTGGGTCCCTCACATCTCCCGCAGGCCCAGGGGTCAGGGCCAACCTCCACATCTCTAGTGAGTGTGTGCCAGGCTGTGGAGCTGTGTCTGTGACCCTGTGGGGAGGGAGCCCATGGCAGGGCTGTAGTGAGAGGAGAATGTCACTATTTGGACCCAGCTGGACTCTGGGTTTCCCAGTGACCCCTGGGAGTACCCACCAGGAGCCACGTGCAGGTGTGTGTGCAGGGACAGGTCAGTTCCAGCTGCTTTTAAAGCATGTTAACACTTTTCCCTTTTAGAAACAAACAGAGAATGCACTTTGCCTTGAAGAGTTTGCTACAGGAGGCACAGAACAACTTAAAGATATTTAAGGTAAGAGCTGCTTTGATTCTATGGTGGTTTCAGAGTAGGGCCAGCGAAGGTTCAGGTGACTTTACAGACAAGGGTGTTGGGCTGGGCTGCACGTTGTGTGTGTCTGACATCCCCTTTGGGGTCCTCATGCCCTGACTGGTTGACCCTTCACCTTTGACCTTTTAGTTCCAGACCTGTCTTTCCCTGACCTTTTTCTGAGTGACTGTGGGTTTTCCATGACTGTTCCTTCCACAAGTACAATATCTGAGTGACTGTAGGTTTTCCATGACCCTGGGGTGCTCGACCAAAGCCCTAACAACTGATGAGTGGGCCTTGGTCTGTCGTGATGAGCAGACGGGTGAACCACTGGTGAAGATGGCTCTAGCACTATCTGAGATGGCATCACCTGGCCTACTGCTGGCAGTGGTGTCCAAGGAAGAGCAGGTGGGGTTAGGGCCAGGCAGGGTTGGGGTGTCTGTGGAGGAGAGGCTGGGGGGAAAAACGGGGATGATATGTAGGGCAGGGCAGGCCTGGGTGGCAGTCGGGGTGCTGGGCCTATGTTGGACATGTATCCTCTGGGCTCCCCCTTGTCATCACTCCGGTCCCAGTTGTAGCCTCATAATCCATCACACATAAGTGACACCTGGGGACAGAGTCCTGGGGAGCTGACAGCCATGGCAGGTGGATCCTTCAGAGAAGGCAGGGCTGTTGGGCACGAGCCTCTCAGCTTCCTGTGTGCCGTGGTCTCGACAAGGTGACTGGTGAACCGGAAGCTCTGGCCCCTCTCCTCACTGCTCCACGTGGCTGGCGTCCTGCTGCCCGGTTGGATGCCTCTCAGCATTGGGCAGATGGGGCCTGCTCTTGACCTGCCTCCCCTGGTCTTGCTTAGAAACCCCATGGTGCTGGCTGCTGGGCAGTGAATTGACTTCATTCGCTGTCTGCCTCCACCTTCCCAAATCCAGGAAAGGATAACATATTTCGCAGGCAGTTTTTATTTCATATTTATGTAATTTATTTTTATAAACTCAGTAATTAAACTCTGAAGATACATTCTGTTTCATCAGGGATTTGTTTGAAGCCTGTTATAAGACTGGCATGTTATCCCAAGTGGACTGTTTTCTGACCCATCTGGCCTGCACCTAAGGTGTCTGGGGCCTGGAACTCTGGCTGGCTGCTGATTCCATTAAAATCAGCATGGAAAAGTCTCAAGGATTAGGATTGTTTCAAAAGAGTTGAAAAGGGGATGGATTCAGAGAAGGGATGCAGAATGACATTTTAAGATAACAGGGCAGCGCCAAGGCACATTGCCTACTGTGCATTCCATCTGCTCTCCTGCCGACCTGGTCTGGTTCAGTATTCAAACCCAGCAAGGCAGAAAACTGAAAACTCTGAAGTTCCAGGTGTGGGCCAGGTGCAGTGGCTCACATCTGTAATCCCAGCACTTTGGGAGGCTGAGGTGGATGGATAGCTGGAGCCAGAGGTTCAAGATCAGCCTGGGCAACATGGCAAAACTCTGTCTCTACAAAAAATAAAAAAATTAGCTCGGTATGGTGTGTGCACCTGTGTTCCCAGCTACTGGGAGCCGGAGGTGGGAGGATTGCTTGAGCCTGGGAGTTGAAGACTGTAGTGAGTCTTGATTACTCCATTGCACTCTAGCCTGGGCAACAGAGTGAGACCTTGTCTCAAAAACATGAAAAATTAAATAAATAAGATTCAAAGATTTGCTACTTCCCTGGGGTTGGCTGCTATCAGAGGCCTTTCCCCTGGGCACCACCCAGACCCCCACGAGTCATGGTGTCAGCTCCCCACCGGGCATAGCAGCGGATGTCCCTGCCTGTGCCCTGGGTTTGTATGAATCTGAATGTTGATGTTGTAAGGAATTTCTTTGTTGGGCTTGATTTAAAAAGGTAGAACAGTCTTGAGCATGGATGTTTCCATACTGGTGATGCCAGCAGCTTCTCCCACCTTCTGGCTCGGCAGCACCACCCAGCACTGGGGTCACCCTGGGCGTGGCCTGAACCCCAGGACACACTCATCTGCTGTGCTGGTGCTGACTGCCATCCTTGCGTTTGCCTGCTCAGGGCCAAGCCAAGGCCCTCAGGCTCTTGAGTAACTGAGCTGGTGGCTTTGGGAGTTTGTCACTTGTGGTGAGCATTTGCTCTTGGCTTCTAAATGTACTGTGTATCATTGTCTGGGGGGGCGTTGGTCAGGCCAGGGCACTGCTCTTTAGTTTTTGAAACCTTTTCTTCTTTTTCATGTCTCAGGGTTTGCTGCTTGGTTGATAGCATGGCTCGTGAGGGTGGGTTTCCCTGGAGGAGCTGGAGTATGCAGCGGCCACAGATGGGTTCAACAGCATCAGGGCCCTTGGCTCTCACTCACTGCCTGGCCTGCTGGTGGTGGGGACTGAGGTCTTTTCCTACAAGCTTGGTGGTTTGATGTTTCCCTCTCTCTTTTCCCTGCCTGAAGAATGGTGAGCTGATTTATGGCTGCAAAGATGCCCGGAGCCCCGTGGCTGACTGGAGCGAGCTTGCACACCACCTGAAGCCGTTCTTCTTCCCTTCCAATGGCCTGGCCAGTGGGCCCCACTGCACAAGGGCTGTGATCAGGGAGCTGGTGCACGTGATCACGCAGGTGCTGCTGAGCAGCTCGGACAAGGGCCGGGCAGGCACCCTGAGACCGGGGCTTGGGCCTCGGGGCCCGCGAGTCTGTGAAGCCAGCCCCTTCAGCAGGAGCCTGCGCTGCCAAGGTAGGGCCCAGTGTTCCCCAGGTAGGCGGTGGGGGCCGCAGGGGCCTTAGGACTCTGCAGTCCCCGTGGGTGGCGGTCAGCAAAGCCTTCTGGGGGATCTGGGGATGCCACCTGGTTCTGCCAGGGCTCCCAGCACAGGGTCTAGCTGCCTCTCACTCCCAGATGCTGACCTCCTTTCTTGCTTTTAATCTGCGTCTGTAAATTGCAGGACACATTTGGGCTGTAGGATTTCCCCCAGAATATCATCCATATGTTGTGTTCCTCTCTGTTTTGTCGAATGTTTTCAACCATGTTATCCTGTTGGATCCTCATTGCAACCCTGGGGACAGGTTTTCCTTGGCTTGTTCCTTAGACGGGGAGAATTGAGGCACAGAAACCCTTGAGGGCTGTGTCCTGCCATAGTGGGGTGTCTTCACAAGTCTGGAGTAAAGAGACAGACCCGTGGGGCCTGTGGACTGCAGGACACCTTCCTTGCAGACAGAATGGCGCAGAGCTGGGCCCTGGCCGCTGCTGTGTATCCTGACGTCTCATGAGCTGAGCCTGCTCGTGACTCTTGGCAGCCTACAGAAACCCCACGGTCTCTGGGAGCCTGAGACGGTTTGAAGACAATGGTCCTGCTTGTGTGCAGCCAGAAACCCGCCCATACCCTAGGCTCTGCCCTCTTTTCTGCTGCCTGTGCCAACTTTTTCTTTTGTTTTTTCAAGACACGATCTTACTCTATCACCCAGGCTGGAGTACGGTCATGTGATCTCAGCTCACTGCAGCCTGTCTCCTAGGTTGAAGCGATACTCCTGCCTCAGCCTCCCGAGTACAGGCGCACACTGTCACACCTAATTTTTGTATTTTTAGTAGAGACAGAGTTTCACCATGTTGGCCAGTCTGGTCTTGAACTCCTGACCTCAAGCAATCCACCCGCCTCAGACTCCCAAAGTGCTGTGACTACAGCCATGAGCCACCATGTCTGGCCCCCATGTTTTCTCATTACAAATACATTTTGTGGGTTTTTTTTTCTTGTTATGAAAGTGATTCCTGATCATTTCAGAAAATTTTCTTAAAATTATGCCCATAATCTTGGTACATACCTGCTTTTAAGAAAGCAGACTGTGTCTGGAGGGACAGATGGCACCACTTGCTGCGGTAGTCTGGGGGCACTAAGAGGAGGCACCACAGAACCCTGGGGCTCCTGCAGACCTTGGACGTGGACGCAGACAGGAGGGAGTGGAGCCGGGCCCAGCTGCTGGGATGTGCAGTTTAAAACAATAAGATCATACTCTACATGACATTTTGTGACCTGACTTTTTTACTTAATTACCATAAGTCTGTATCTATGCCATCACACATATATATGTTTGTTTATTTATTTTAAAGACAAGGTCTGGTTCTGTTGCCCAGGCTAGAGTGCCATGGTGTGATCTTGGCTCACTGCAACGTCTGCCTCCTGGGCTCAAGCGATCCCCTGCCTCAGCCTCCAGTAGCTGGAACTACAGGCATCACTACCACGTCCAACTAATTTTTGTTTTTTTTTTTTTTTTTTTTTTTTTTGTTGAGATGTGGTTTCTCCCTGTTTTCC